AAGTCCATTTGGTCCAGTGTGTCATTTAAAGTCTTTATTTCCTTGTTGATCTTTTGCGTAGATGATCTGTCCATTTCAGTGAGGGGGGTGTTAAAGTCCCCCACTATTATTGTATTGTTGTCGATGTGTTTCTTTGCTTTTGTTATTAATTGCCTTATATAATTGGCTGCTCCCATGTTAGGGGCATAGATATTTACAATTGTTAGATCTTCTTGTTGGATAGACCCTTTAAGTAGGATATAATGTCCTTCCTCATCTCTTATTACAGTCTTTGGTTTAAAATCTAATTTGTCTGATATAAAGATTGCCACCCCAGCTTTCTTTTGGTGTCCATTAGCATGGTAAATGGTTTTCCACCCCCTCACTTTCAAACTGGGGGTGTCTTTGGTTCTAAAATTAATCTCTTGCAGACAGCATATCGATGGGTCTTGTTTTTTAATCCAGTCTGATAGCCTGTGTCTTTTAATTGGGGCATTTAGCCCATTTACATTCAGGGTAACTATTGAAAGATAGGAATTTAGTGCCATTGTATTGCCTGTAAGGTGACTGTTACCGTATATTGTCTGTGTTCCTTTCTGGTCTATGTTGCTTTTAGGCTCTCTCTTTGCTTAGAGGACCCCTTTCAAGATTTCTTGTAGGGCTGGTTTTGTGTTTGCAAATTCCTTTAGTTTTTGTTTGTCCTGGAAGCTTTTTATCTCTCCTTCAATTTTCAATGACAGCCTAGCTGGATATAGTATTCTTGGCTGCATATTTTTCTCATTTAGTGCTCTGAATATATCCTGCCAGTCCTTTCTGGCCTGCCAGGTCTCTGTGGATAGGTCTGTTGCCAATCTAATGTTTCTACCCTTGTAGGTTACATCTCTCTTCTCCCGAGCTGCTTTCAGGATTTTCTCTTTGTCTATGAGACTCGTAAGTTTTACTATTAGATGTCGGGGTGTTGACCTATTTTTATTCATTTTGAGGGGGGTTCTCTGTGCCTCCTGGATTTTCATGCCTGTTTCCTTCCCCAAATTAGGGAAGTTCTCTGCTATAATTTGCTCCATTATACCTTCTGCCACTCTCTCTCTTTCTTCTTCTGGGATCCCAATTATTCTAATGTTGTTTCGTCTTACGGTATCGCTTATCTCTCGAATTCTGCCCTCGTGATCCAGTAGTTGTTTATCTCTCTTTTTCTCAGCTTCTTTATTTTCCATCATTTGGTCTTCTATATCACTGATTCTCTCTTCTGCCTCATTTATCCTAGCAGTTAGTGCCCCCGTATTTGATTGCACCTCATTAATAGCCTTTTTGATATCTACTTGGTTAGATTTTAGCTCTTTTACTTCTCCAGAAAGGGTTTCTCTAATAACTTCCATATTTTTTTCAAGCCCAGCTAGTATCTTTAAAGTGATGATTCTGATCTCTAGATCTGACATCATACTAATGTCCGTATTGAGTAGGTCCCTGGCAGTCGGCTACCTCTTGTTCTTTTTGTTGAGGTGATTTTTTCCGTTTGTCATTTTGTGCAGAGGAGAATAGATTAATGAGAGAACAAAATGCTAGCAGATCATTTACTCTTTTTTTAAACTTTTTTTATTGTTATGTTAATCACCATACATTATGTCATGAATTTTTGATGTAGTGTTCCATGATTCATTATTTGTACATAACACCCAGTGCTCCATGCTATCTCATTTACTCTTGACAGCAACTTCATGATAAGTTGTATTATTCCCATTTTTCAGATAAGGAATCTCCAAGAGTTTAAGTGATGTGTTCAAGTTCACTTGGTTAATGAGAAGCAGGGAGGGATTCAAAGCTAGACCTGTCTTAAGCTTTGCCTCTGTGGTAGTGATCAGTGCTCTTTACTTCCAGGCCAGAACGTTTTATTGCTGATGCAAGAGTCTCCTTCTGAAAGGCAATTGGCTCTTCTGTCCACCTGTGTCCTTGGGTTACTCTGATGAGCAGAATGCCCTGGCAGCCTGAGATGGACATGTGGTTTGAGCATGAAATGAACCTTCGTGGTTTTTAGTCGTTAAGATTTTGGGGTCCTTTGTTACTGCAGCATAACCTGTCATATCTTGACTAGACTAACACATCCTCCAATAAGACGATTAACACTGATAGCTAAATTATCTCTGTAATTTTCCTGTTTGTCAGGTAGAGGCAGCAGGCTGAATCATGTTTGGGAGAAATAATGATCAAATGTTTTTCAGTGCCAATGAGATAGGTCATGGGTTGAAAGAGTCTCTTATAATTTTTTCAGTATTTTCTTTCCCCTCTCCTGCCATTTTTTCTCTGCTTTCTCCTCCTTTCATTCCTTGCCCTGGGCCTCCTTTTAATCTCTATACAACTTGAATGCCTGCTGCCTAGTACCACTCAAATATTTTTTTGAAATAGGAAGGAAAATTCAGAATCCAGGAAAACAAAATGTTGAATTCCAAATTCTCTTCCCTTTGTTGACAGTTTGGTTAAAAAGATAATGTTTAAGGAGTTTACTTTACTTTTCACCAAACAAAGCAATCATAGAACTCAATTTCTTAGTTTTCACATATCTTCAAGGTTCTTTTCACCCCCATTTCTCTGGGTACTGCATCTATGTAGCTTGAGGAGGAATCTTGGCTAGCACACTTTTGCAGGAAGATTGAATTTCTGGCTAAGCCCATCTCTCTCTGTCACCCAGTTATCATCAATAAATATTTATTGGCCAGCAACCTCCAGTGGAGCCCTGGGTAGTAGGCCTCTGTGAGTCCCAGCTGATCATTATTAATTCAATGAATGTAGTTGTAAATTGGCCAAGAACACACAATGGAAGCGATTACAAGTGCTCTTGTCCATGTGGGCTCACTCCATTGAAAGATGTTTTAGATCTGCTTTTGCCTCCTTCCAAGAAAATACGAGATGCAATTTGCTTCAAACTCCTTTAGTTTCTTGCCCAAATATTAAACAAGAATAAGGCAGGTTGGGAGAGGCATCTCTGGAATGTGTTGTTCTAAATGATTTGGAGGATTGCAGGGTCACTTTTTGAGCTAATGTGAATTGGCAGGCAAAATGCTTTCCACTGAGATGAATTATGGGCTCAGGGTCACCTGGTTTTTTATCCGAGTTAGAGGAGTCAGAAGTAGATAGAAATGAAATGACCCATTATCAAATAATCAATGAAAAAGCTACAGTCCTGCAATGTTTCTGGATCAATATACAAGTTACCTTTCAGAGAGATGAATTATTCTTGAGTAGTTCAGAGCAGAACAGAGCTCACTTCCAGCCAGACTCCCCAAATGCATTATGTGTGAAAGCAGAGAAAGAAAACATTAACCTACCAGAGACAAGAAAGAGGGATGCTCTCCAGGCAGGAGCCTTTCCTAAACAGTGCCCAGTGAGGGTATTCTTGGGAACATGGTTTGGCAAACATTGATCCAGAGGCACAAGCTGCTGCAGGTTAAGGGGACAGTGTAGATGAAGGTCTGGGGAAAGGGCGTGTTCCTACCCTGAGCACAGGAGGATAAATTGGCAAAGACATTTCCAAGAGGCAGTTTTGCAGTATCTATCAGGATTTAAATTTCTATACTTTTTTTTTTAATTCGTATTTTTTTTTAAAGATTTTATTTATTTATTTAACAGAGAGAGACAGCGAGAGAGGGAACACAAGCAGGGGGAGTGGGAGAGGGAGAAGCAGGCTTCCGGCTGAGCAGGGAGCCCGATGTGGGGCTCGATCCCAGGACCCTGGGACCATGACCTGAGCCGAAGGTAGACGCTTAACGAATGAGCCACCCAGGTGCCCCAATTTCTATACTCTTTGGCCTAGCAATCCAATTCTTAGAATTTACCCTACAAATATCGTGACATATGTATAAGGAGATTTCTTTTTTGTGATGGTAAACACATAACACAGCTTGAAAATGTCCATCAAAAAGGGGAATGGGGATTAAGTCAATTGTAATTTATCAATACTGTTGAATATTATCAGCCATTAAAAAATGAGGTAAATATATTTGTTCTGACATATGACCTTGGGGAAGTTATGAAACCTCTTACTGCTTGAGGTATCTTATTTGTAAAATGAGTATAGTATTTAATAAAAGTTGAGTGACAGACTAAAGGACTATTTGTGTGTGTATGTATGTTGTACAGGTACAATTTTCAATTTTTTTAAAAGGCTTTATTTATTTGTCAGAGAGAGAGCGAGCTCGCTCGGGCACAAGCAGGGGGAGTGGCAGGCAGAGGGAGAAGCAGGCTTCCCGCTGAGCAAGGAGCCTAATTCAGGACCCTGGGATCATGACCTGAGCTGAAGGCAGACAGAACCGACTGAGCTACCCAGGTGTCCCCAATTTTTTTATTTTTGGAAGGACTAAAATTTATAAAAGTAAATGAGAAACCCAGTAGATAGAGCTAAGTCTAGAATCCCTAGATCCTCATCTGGGAGTCGGGGTGGAAGATGGAGAGACGAAGGATGAAGGAAAGTAATCTTCATTGAAAACACACAGTATGCTGGGCTATCTGCTATGTACTTTATATAATTGTATTATTTAGTTTTCAAAACCATCTTTAGTAGGCTCTATGATTTTCATCTTACAGATGAGAACAATAAGACTCCAAGAAAACTTACTGAGGTCATATAGTTGGGAGCGGCAGAACTAGGCTTCCAGTCTAGGTCTAATGTCAAAGTCATGCTTCCCATCCTCGCCTTTCATGCTGAGATCATGTCTTACCCCTGAATATTTGATGTTCCGTGTAAGGTTTCACTCTATAATGCTTGTTATATTTAATAAAATATTTGCGAAAAAAGCTTGAGGATACTGACATAGATCACCCTCGCTTTTTATTCTTTAATATGTAGGAATAATTATTATGATACTTTCTTTAGTGTGTAAGGTTTTCTGTAATTATCTTACCTTTATCAGTCACTATAGGCTAAGTTGTGCTGCAGTAATAAACAATTCCAAAAATCTCAGAGGACTCCTCTTCTGTTACATGTACTTTGTAGATTGACTGCCACTCTGCTCCATGTTCCTTCATTTCAGGGTGTAGGCTGAAGAAGCAGCCCTTTGCTGGGACATCGTGAGTGGGATGGGAGAGGACACGGATGGAGGAGTCACGCAATAGCCCGTAAAGCTTCGGCACAGAAGCAGCGCATGTCGCCTCCACTCGCATTTCACTGGCCAAAGTGGGTCAGGTGGCCAGATGGAAACACAGTCGCGTGGGAAGAGTATAATCTTCTGTGTTGGGAGACCCACTGAGGAGTAGCAGGTAAGAGGGGCAGCAGACATTTTGAAGAGTAGTGCAATATGCCTCCTTACCCTAGGCAAGATAAAATTTAAGCCCCTTAAAATAGACACGTTTATCTCCTTCTGTTTAGTTTACATATATAGGATGGAACTTTTACTCTTCTAAGTCTTGTGCTTTTTTTTTTTTTTTTTTTTTTTTACTAGAAAGTAAATTTAACTTAATTTCACTTTTATGGGAGTCAGTCTGATCCCAAATCAGCAGTTCTCAAAATATGTGGAGGGAACTCTGGTAGCCCCTGAGACACTGTGAGGACAAAACTGTCTTAATAGTAATACCAAGTTGTTACCTCCGTTCTCACTCTCATTCTCTCATGAGTGTGCGCTGGGGCTTTCCAGATGCTACATGACATGTAATATTGGAACAGACTGAATAGAGGGGCAGATATGAGAATCCAGCTATCTACTATGAAACCAGGCATTAAAGAGATTAGCAAAAAATGTAAAACAATATCACTCTTCTTACAGATGTTTTTGTTTTGGAAAATATAGTTGTGCTTTATAAAAATGTTGTAATAAGTTTTATCTTGATAAGATTAGCAAATATGTATTTAAAAATTTCACCTTTAATTTCTAATATAGCAAATGTCAGTACTCATAACACATCTAAACAATAGCTCTTTGTGGGTATTTAATAACTTTGATCAGAATGTTAAGAAGGAGTTCTGAGGACAAAATGTTTGAGAACTTCTGTCCTAAAATGATGTGACAGGCCCTGCCTGTCTCAATGAGAGTATTAGTGGAAGGATCATTAAACACAGCTCAAGTTTCCTTCGCTATACTGAAGATAGTGTGGAGCCCAGTGGATTCCTATAAATACTGTTATTTTTCATAATCATCACCAGTGTTCCATATCTTGTACCTCCTGAAGGGGAGAGATGATTAGTTTGTTAAAGAAGGTTGGTTGCATGAATTATTTCCAGCCTTGAAGAAGTTCACAGCTTGATGTTACACCAGTAATGAATAAGAAAAATGGCAGTACATAACCCTGAAAAGAAATATGCGGCTTTCTGATAAGAGGCACTTGTAATTTAACGTTGTCTTGGAACTTTATCTTCATGTCTCACTAGCTTCAATACAGAAGAACTGAAAGCAAACCACACATTTACCCTGATGAATAATAATAACGAAGACTACTTTGTGGAGAGCCTTTATTCAGGTTCTGTAGTGTTTCTCATGTACGAACTAATTAAGCTTACTTTCACATTTGTGACCAAGCTCAGCAAGTTTTTTTTTTTTTTATCTTCCCCCTACTTTTGCCTTTGCAGTATGCCAGTGCCCTTCTCCCCAAAGAGGTATCTCCCAATAAAAGGACAGAATCTTTTATCTCTTTTGCAGAATTCTTGTCAGATAACCTTGTTCTGAACATTAGTTCTCTAAGGATAGTTCTGAAGGGGCATCTGGACATGCATGCTTGTGTGTGTGTGCATACGTGTGCATGTGTGTGTTTTGGTATTTCATGCCAGAAAGAACTTTTCTTCTTCTGAGAAGCTGATAGTGCTATTTACCAAACAGTGAGAAGTATGTAACATGCTGCATTTCATTTTTTGCCTTGGCTTCCTGGAAGCTCAGTCCTCACATATTTACTTTCGGTGATTTTTAATTCTTTTTTATTGCAAGTTACTTCCATTTTGGAAGCAGGCCCAAGATGTAATATTAATAAACGAACAGCAACAGTAAGCCAGTTAGATGCGGGACAGCCTTCAAATAAAGATAGAATCAGTAGCTATTGCATTTGAAAGGCTTAGCTAGGACAGGAATTCGTTCTTGAGGACCATGTATCTGCCACTGTTACTTGAAATCCCCTCCATCAGGGTCCCTCCTTTTAGGTAAGATATTTGGTCTTTTGAAAGCTGCTAAGTTACAATGAAAACATGCTATTGGGAAGAGTCCAACCTCAACCCATCGGCCTTTATTGAGGTCATGGCAAGGCTGTGTTTATCTGCCTGGTCTGGCTGAGAGCATAGTCCTGACGAGATGGGACAGGAGCTCGGAATTACTGCAAAGGACTGGCGGGTCATGTGGGGCTCTCAGGCATCCCAAGAAAACATAAAGAACTGGTACTGGGGCTTACGGACTGGGGAAAGGTTGGGCTCACCACATGGAAAGGAAATGAGTATCACTGTTTACCATTTCACTGTTGTACTGATTAAGAAAGAGGCTATGGCAGGTTTGGAAGGAGGGAGAGAGACCGGAGGAAGCCTTGGTCATGTAAGAGTCTAGTTGTCATTCTGCTGGTTCCACAGAGGGGTCTGGTACAGCAATGGTTGACACTTGTAAAACTCACCTTTGTCCTCTTGTCTAATTGCAGTTAACCACCAGGCTATTGCTAGACAATAGTAGAGACATGGATAACTTTCATTCTTCTGGATTTTAACAAGTGTTTCTATAGTTATTCACCTTTAAGTGTTAAGCTGCTTCTTTTGAGATCTACGTAGTTACTTATCCTTCCCTAAATATACATTAGTTATTATGTTACAGATATAACCACATATTCCTATATCCGTATTGTCCTACCTTATTAAGAGTTTTTATGAGGAACGAGTATTAAATTTTACTAAATTCCTTTATTAGGTATGTATTTATATGATTGCTTGGTTTTTTTCCTTTGATCTATTAAGGTAGGGACTTATACGAATAGATTTCTTAATATTGAATTATTTTTGTATTCTTAGAATAGAAATTCCCTGAGGTATTGCTCTTTCAAGGTATTGCTGGCTTCTCCTTGTTAAGGTTTGTTAGCTTTTGAAGCCACTAGTATTTGGACTTTTTGAAAAGAATTGAAAATCTCTCCTTCTTTCTCTAGGCCATGGAACAGGTTCGGGTGATCTTGGAATTAGTAGTTCCTTGAAAATTTAAGAGAATTCATCCCTGGACCGGTCAAGGCCAGCTGTTTTTCTCAAGGGCAGCTATTTGCAATTTTTATAATTGCTATCAAACTTACCTTTTTTTCTTATATCACTTCTTTGGTGAATTTTGATAAACTTTTTCCTAGAAAATGTTTCATTTCACCCAGGTTTTCAAATTTACTAACATAGAGCTGTACATCATTCTTCTATTATTGCTTTATACAACATTATTTTTTTAATATTCCATCATGTGGATGGAATATAATTCATGTAACTAGTTCCTATTATTGGACATTGAAGTTGTTTCTGAATATCTTCTATTTTAAATAATGGCCTGAGAAAAAAACTTGTAGGTTCATCTTTGCACACATTTTACTAGTAGTTTTAAGGTAGTTGACTGATCAGTGAAACCAGTTTTTCTTCTTGAGTTCTGCGTCAACTCTGCCTTCCTCCCCCATCTGGTTGAGAGGAGTATAAGAAAGAGTTTGAATTCACATCTCACCCCTGCCACTTAATAAATGGGGACCTTAGGGAATTAATCTCTCTGCACCTTAGTTTTCTCTTAGGGAGAGTGTAGATAATGGTAGTAACTTCAGTACTCAGTACAAGGACTGGAAACCCAAGTATTTTAAGGAGAAAGGAATTTAATACAGGGGGTTATCTACTTGTGCAATTGTTGGCAAAGTTGGAGGAGCAGTCACTCATCTGGACCTCCTAGAATGACTCCCCATCCCAGAACTGACCCACCAGGGGAGCCGATCCCTCTGAAGCCACCGTGGGAACTGTTGAGTTCAGGAACAAACTGCTGAGGTGTCATGTTGCCACTGCTTCTGCTTCAGGTGCCCAGGAAGCTGGAAGAAGGACTATAATGCTGCTGCAGAAAAATCTCACATTTCCACCGCGCAGCTTGCCAGAATGAAACTTCCAAAGGGGGCAGGAAGCAGCCTCTGCCTCATTTCTGCCTTCCCAAACTCATGCAAATCCTTACAATCAGTGAGACCTAATTTACATGCAAAACTGAGAGAGCTCCGCAGGAATCTGAGCAACAGTTTCCAGCTTTGCAGCCTAGAGGTTGAGCAAGCCAGTCCATAGCCAAACACCCTGCATGAGATTGTTGTGAAGATTAAATAAAAATAATTTATGCAGGTGCCTGGTACAGAGTGTAATGCAATCAGTATGGTTATTTATTATTGTTTATTAAGAGCAAATCGTGTGCGGAGATTGCACTCATTTACTAGGGATGGGAAAACTAATATAATGTTTCTTTGCTGTCCTCAGAATATTCCCAGTAAAAATAGGAAGTAGATACTAAAGAAAAAATTATATCACAACAAACAAAAGTGCTATGAGAAAGTAAGGGACAGGGTAACTGGTGGCGGTGTGTGTTACTTCATTTGTTCATTCACTAAAAAATAGATTTACCAACCCAACTCATTATATGGACTAGGCCTAGTGCTGCTAGGGGCTGGGATGCAGAAGTGAGCCAGACAGGGTGTTGTCCTTGCTCTGTGGGGGGGGTGTGTGGGGGGGGGGCAGTGGGGATTGGTGGGAGAGTCAGAGGGAAAGGCTTTACAGAGGAGGTGACATCTGGGCTGGATCTTGATGGATGAAGAAGATTTTCAGCAGAGAAGGGAAAGAAGACAAGAACAGAATCATAGAAGCAAGATTTATAAAGGACTTTAGGCATCAGCCTAGGGCAGTGTTTCCCAAAGTGTGTTCCACAGACTACCAATCACCAGAGTGATTCCCTGAAGGGATAGTTCCAGGGTCAGGCACCATTTAGAGATCATGAGAACTATGAACACATTAAAATATTGAGAAGGTTTACAGTCTAGTATCATTAAGTCTGTTTAACTCAGTATTTCTTAAATTTTTGAGCATGTAAAGCTTTGATGTAATATCTTTTAGCAAAGGACCCACTTTGGGAAACATAGTCCCAAGGTAAGCAACCACTTTATTCCATGGATGGCAAGATGAGGTACAGAGAGGTTAAGGGTCACATAGCTACCTTATAGGTTCTAAGGAGCCAGGGACCATGTTATTCTCCAGCACTTTTATTTCCCCAGCAATTAACCCAGTACCTGGCACAGAATAGATGTGAAAAAAATATTTGGGATGAAACATTGGTGAATCAATGATATAAACTAGAAGAGAACTCAGAAACCTCAACATTCAGATTTATGTTTTTACTAATATATACCTTTCAGCTAATGGGAAACATTTCCAGAAAGACACAGGGAGAAATTCCCCCCACCAGGGTTATGTAGAGACTTTTCCCTTTCAGGTAGGGTTGCCAGGTAAATGCAGGACGCATGTAATATTTGGGACATGCTTACACCAAAAAATTATTCATCGTCTCTCTGAAATTCAAATTTAACTGGGTGTCCTATATTTTTATTTGCTAAATCTGGCAACCCTACTCTTAGGGGAACAATATGGAAACCTTTCTACTTGCTAAATGTTGCTTGCTAACACCTTGAAAAGTGATTCATATACAGAGGTATATTTTACTTTCCAGTATATCACAGGGTTGATCCCTTTTAAGTGGGTCTAAGAAGATAAACCAATTTTGTACAATTTCGTTTCTTTCAAGTTCCTGCTGAGAGGGAAAGCTTTTGTGTAAACAGGGAAGTGGCAAAAATATTTATCTCATCAGCCTGGGCCCCCGCACATGGGAGGGAGCACCCAGAGAATTCTTCCAGCCAGGACACTGCCGCCCCCTTTTATGATCCAGCCAACAGGCGAAGCTTGGGGACAGAGTTGGAAAGATGCATGTGAAGAAACGGGGAAGACAAACTTCTAAATAATGAGGCTCTTCAGACAGAACACTTGCTATTCGACACCCCAATCCAGGTTTATGTTTCCAAAAGGTGATACATTTAGCCATAAAATTTCTGGAGCTTGGACTAGGTGATTCCTTCATTTTGTGCAGTGCAGACCTGGATGTAGATCACAAATTATAATGCTTTTAAAAGCACTCTTGTTCTCCATTCATCTTTGTCCCTGCCCCACAAAGATGCACTGAGACCTGTCATGAACCATCTGTTACTACTTTGCCAGGAGGATCCTGACCTTAAGACAGTTAAACAATTAAAAAGAGCACTAAAAAAACCCCCAAGAAAACAAAAACCCCAAACCCTTCCTGAAACATTCCCTGCTCTTTATACTATGAGTGGCTTAGGCTGTTCACTTTGCTTTCATCCTCAGCTTGGTGTGAATTATATGTGCTTTTGTAAACCCCAACTTAAAACCCTGTATGTCTTTAGATAGCTTTTTACACTGCACTCCTTAATGTGGGTCATTTCTCATGATACACTGCAGTGATTCTACTTCTGCAGAGAAGGGTAAGGACTTGGTTAAAGTGTTGATTAATTGCACTTTTCATTCATTGGTTTGCTCATTTTACAAACATTTAAAAAAATGCATACTGTCCAGGAACTGTGTGCATGGCACCGGAGAAACAGATAAAGCACAGCCCGTGTCCTCAAGGAACTGGCAGGCTAAACAAATATTTGCAATTCAGCGTGAGAAGTCAGTAGAGGTGCTGCTAAGAGGGGCTGGCTGAATGATCAACTTCGCCTGTGGGAGGTGGAAGGGGAAGGGAGAGCTGCACAGAGGAGATTTAGGAGCTCACTCCTGAGGAATAAATAGGCATTTTCTAAGTGCCGAGAAGGCAGAATGGGAACAGCATGTGCAAAGGCAAGGAAATATGAAGTGTTAGAACTTGTTCAGTGAGAGGCCTCTACAGCTAAAGCTGACCCATTGGGATCCGGGAAGAATATAGCATAACTTCTTACCTTTATTTTTATGTAAAAGTAAACTTCACTAATATTAAGTGTATGACTTACAGTTGGGCATATGTAATTTATCAAAAAGTGTGTTTGGCTGGTTGCAAGCTCAAAAACACTTTACCAAAAGGGGGCGCTCACGATCATACTAATTTGGCTACCACTACTGGAGTGGTAGAGCTAGGGATTCAGTTCCTGGCCCCCAGCTCAGGCTGCAGCAGTGCCAACAGGAGTCTAGATAATCATGTTTCCTTTAGTCCAGAGTACCTCAAAGTATGGTCAATGGAGACAGAATGCCTAGAGTGCTTGCTAAAGAAAGCAAATTCTCAGGCCTCTCCCAGGTCAATAGAATCAGCATCTTTCAGCAATAGGACCCAGGAATTTATAGTTGTAACAGCTCCCCAGGTGATGCTTAATGTCTTAGTCGACTCAAGCTGCCATAATAAAATGCCGCGGACTGGATGGTTTAAACAACAGAAATTTATTTTCTCACAGCTTTGGAGTCTGGAAATACCATGGTTAAAGTTCCATTTGGTTCAGTCTCTGGTGCGGGTTCTCTTCCTGGCTTGCAGATGGCCACCTCGTCCATGTGTCCTCACATGGTGCAGAGAAAGCGCTGGTGTTTCCTCCTCTTTATATAAGGGCACCGGGTCTATTGCATCAGGGCTCCACCCTTATGATCCCATTTAAGCTTAATTACCTCCTTAAAGTCACATAGGGGGTTAGGGCTTCAGCATATGAATTTTGGGGGGACATAGTTCAGTCCATAGCTCCTATGTTCACTGAAGTTTGAGGACCACTGCTCTAATCTAACCAGTAAGAAGCAGCACTGTCAGGGATAGCTTCTGATGTAGGCCTATTTATTCCTTAGTCTGGACACAAAGGAAGAGCCAGAGAATTTGGAATTTTCAGCATCCCTATTGCCTTACAGACTAATGCTATTCAGTAAAAATGTATTGGGGGGTGACAAATGCAAATCACATTTATAATTAATAGTTTTTTAGAAGCCACATTGAAACAAAAAGCAAAAAAAGGGTGAAAATAATTTTAATAATTTAGTTTAATATATCCAAAATATTATCAATCCAACATAAAATCAATATAAAAGGTTATTAAGATACTTTACAATTTTTTTTTGTATTAAATCTTTGAAATCCTACATGTATTATTTTACACTTACTGCACATCTGATTTCAAATTAGCCAGATTTCAGATGCTCAGGGGCTACATGTGGCTAGCGGCTACCATATTGAACAATCTGTGCTAGATTATTATAGCCTTCAATTCAGGGCTTGAGGAGGCAAAGCAGACAAGGTGTGTTATGAACATGCTGTGCAAGTAACAGCATTTCTAAGAAAGGCTTTATGATTATGATTAGTCCTGAAATGTTTCTGTGAACATGACTCCCCTCTAACCAGCAGCTTAAGATGTCAGGTTTAAGCAGAGAACAGAAACTGAAGGCTCATCCTAGCAGTTGAAGAAATTGTCACCACTCAGTGTTTTGTTTACCATTTACATAAGAAATCACAGTCTGCCAGAGCTGTGTGATGACTGAGCCAGGCTGACCAGATGATAGTTTGCCCTTACATGAAAACTGAGCTGCATTTGATTTATCATCCTCGGTTGTCACTTCTCACCTCCACCGAACCTTTCCTGAGACCACTGTTGATGTCACTTCAAAGGATCAGACCTGGATTTCATCTGTGAAGAGTGTATTAATCCTAAAACAGCCTCCTTCAGACAAAGAAGCATCTGTAGTTAGTGTTGGGGGTGGGGAGAGCATATGGAGAAAGTTCCTTGAACTTTATATCATGAAGGAAGCATTGGGCAAATTGTGAGGTTAACTTTATCCACATCCCACAAGACCAAGAGGCTCCGGCGCTATAACCATGTTACTGGTGCTGGGTTGTGTCTTGGGACCCACTAGAGTCCAGATGCTTCCAGTTACTTTAAAGACAACAAATACTTGTCTTGTTGGAGGAAATTGGGGCTGTTTGGCTGGAAAAGAGAAAGTTTGGTGGGAGAGGGCAGATATTTGACAGCTTTGGGAAAAGGAATTACTCATTCTGTATAGTTGAAAAGGGCAGAGTTAGAACACAGTTTTAGCTCAGACTAAAGACATATTTAATGAGATTGTGGCATCATTAATAAGACACAGACATCAGACTGTTTCCCTATGGAAACATTTATTGAGTACCTATTTTGGGTCAAGCACTGTCACTTATATTATTTCATTTAAATTTCACAGCATTCCTGCAAGGTAAGTCTTACTAGCTTGTTCTAAACGTGGTGTCTCCCTGCCGCAAGGCCTGATGACAGCAGCTGGGGGTGAGGAAGCCATTCGCCCTGTTGCTGGGACCTGCTGAGTACTCAGCTTTCCCAGCAGGCTCTGTGCCCCAGACAGGAAATCAAATGTAAATGTCA